ATGTGGGGACTACAGACTGAAGCTGCCAGATGTTCTGCACACACCTCGGTCAGTGATGCCATCAGGTCCAGGTGCCTTGTGTAGAATAATCCTTTTGAAACATCTGAACACATCTGCTCTGGATAGTATAAGTAGGCAGGTTTTCCTTGGCCTTTGGTGCATCCTAAGCCATTGTTGATTTCAAACCGTGCATAGAAGGTTAATTTGGGAGAGATGGTTCTTAGTCCAGACCACATGTTTCTGTTGATGGAGCTGTGCTGTCAGACTCCTTGTCCCTGTATTGTCCCTTAGAACATCTACAAGCTCTCTGGATTATGCACATGGATTTCCAAATGACTGTTTGTAGGAATCAGTTTGTGCTTTAACTTTAGCAAAGACTTTCTCTGGTCATGTGAGGAGTGCCCGTAAAGGTAGCAGAATAGCTATGGATGTGGGAAGGGCCAATAGAGAATGCATAAGTACGTATGTATGCATAAGGTCAAACATTATGTGCTATGACCTTTCTAACAATTAGAGTTGAAAATATACAACTGGCTGAAATGATCAAATAAAATACTGTTTGTATGTGTCATGATGTGTCATGATGAAGGACAAGGGAAAGTCTGAAGAATATCACTCTATTCATTGTATTCTCTGGAGAACCTAGGTTAATCTTGAAAGTTGGAATAAGGCTAACTGTCATCTTTATATGACTGATTTGATTGGAATAAAAACAATTGGCTATATCAAGCATATACAAATACACTGCTCAAAAGAATTAAAGGAACACTTTTTAATCAGAGAAAAGCATTAAGTAAATGGTATACTTCTGGGACATTGTTCTGATCAGTTAAGTAGAAGATGGGGTTGTTAATCAGTTGAAGCTGCTTTGGTGTTAATGAAATTAACAACCGGTGCACAAGAGGGGCAACAATGAGACGACCCCCAAAACAGGAATGGTTTTCCAGGTGGAGGCCACTGAAATAGTTTACCTCCTCTTCTTTTCTGACTGTTTCTCACTAGTTTTGCATTTGGCTAGGGTCAGTGTCACTACTGCTAGCATAAGGCAGTACCTGGACCCTTCAGAGGTTACAAAGGCAGTCTTACTCCTCCAGGATGGCACATAAATACGTGACATTGCCCTAAGGTTTGCTGTGTCTCCCAGCACAGTCTCAAGCGCATGGAAGAGATTCCAGGAGACAGGCAGGTACTCTAGGAGAGCTGGACAGGGCCGTAGAAGGTCCTCAACATCAGCAAGACTGGTATTTGCTCCTCTGTGGCAGGAGGAACAGGATGAGCACTGCAAGAGCCCTACAAAATGACCTCCAGCAGGCCACTGGTGTTAATGGCCTGTACCATTGTTTAATATGACCGCTTTGCTGGTAGTTTAGTGATGGTCTGGGGAGGCATATCCATGGAGGGACGCACAGGCATCTACAGGCTAGAAAATGGCACCCTGACTGCCATTAGGTATCGAGATGAAATCCTTGGACCCATTGTCAGACCCTACGCTGGTGCAGTGAGTCCTGGGTTCCTCCTGGTGCACTACAATGCACGGCCTTATGTTGCGAGAGTATGCAGGCAGTTCCAGCAGGATGAAGGAATTGATACCATTGACTGTACCCCACGCTCGCCTGACCTAATTCCAATAGAACACCTCTGGGACATTATGTTTCGGTTCATCCGATGCCTGCCAGGTTGCACCTCAGACTGTCCAGGAGCTCAGTGATGCCCTGGTCCAGAACTGGGAGGCGATACCCCACGACACCATCTGTCGTCTCATAGGAGCATGGTGGGGGTAATACACAGCACTGAGTACCATTTTGAGTTGCTGTAATGAAATGTCAGCAAAATGGACTAGCCTGCCGCATAATTTTTCCACTTTGATTTACGGGATGTCATTGAATTCAGCCCTATAGGTTGATCATTTTAAGTTCCATCAAATGATGTGGCATTCTTTTGTTCCTAACACATTACCCAATGCTGATATCCAGCATAATTTATTTTCCCATTGAGATCTGATGTGTTTTCAAAGTGTTCCTTTAATTTTTTTTAGCAGTAGGGCCCCAGTAGGGCCCCAGTGTATAAATATACTTTTTATAACGTTATAATTCATTGATTATTTAATCATTATTAATCTTTGATTTTTCTTGTTAAATCATGTGAAAATAATTTGTCAAGCTGCCTGTTGGACATGTGAAGGAGGCCCTCAAAGATACTGAAATGAAGAGCTGTGGATGCATTGAGGAACTTTTGGTATCACATTGGGGGAAATTCCTATTTGATTCCTGATGTGTCATCAGGAATCCTGAATATTGTGAAGAATATCATTTTATTTTGGCATCTTATGCAACATTTAAGGAAAATTGGAATAATAAATAGAAGGCTATATGTCATCTTCATATCACTGATCAGCTCCGTTGTTCCCCCGTTTTGAGAGATTTGGGTACGGAGGAAAAGAGAGAGGGTTTTGTTTTCTGACACTTTGTGAGTTCCTTGACACACCGGGGACACATATTTATGTATAAAAGACATAAAAAAGTACATTTTGCATGATAGGTCCCCTTTAAATCATGTGAAAATATTATGCCAAGAAACCTGTTAGCTCATGGGATCACATGTATCTACAGTATCAACTGTGTTATTCAAAGATTATGTAAAATACAAACAAAAACTGTGTTTGGAATAGAAAAGTTTGATATAAAGCAGATATATAATAATGATTATAATAAAAAACATTATTATATATAATATGTAGGTACATATTTTTTGATCTCTTAATCTATGCTTTGTGTCCTTCCCTTCACACAGGTACACCCACAGGGCCCCATTCTGACAGCCATTTTGGCTGCACTGGTTAGCTGTTAGAGGCTGGTGACAGCAGAGGGTGAAGTGAATAGTCAAAAAAACTATTTTTATGAAAAGATAAGAGTCTCTGGTACATATAAATGACATTTTTGGGTGATTGGACTCTTTAGTTTAAAAATGACAGAAAAACATACCTTTTGCATTTTAAATGTCCTATTCCCTTTCCGCCTATGATTTATGTGTGTTTAAGTGTTAATATTACAAAGATGGTAAAAGTATTGATATAATCTTTGCTTTGTTGTATGCCTTGCCTCTCTGTGAACATCTAGGCCAAATTTGGTGACATCCTGATCATTATTTCCAGGGATACGGCCAACACGGCCCCCTTCAGAGGAGCCCACATTTTCACTATTTTCGGTTATGGGAAAGTTCCAAACATTAACCAAAGAAAATCATTTTGCAGTAAAATATTTGTATACAACCATCCGTTTCATAAACTAGACATATTAAAGTAATGAAAAACATGGTTGTGCTTTGTTCTACCTCGGGTAGGGGTATCTCGATAACTAAAGCCTTTTTGGGGGGTTTGTTCCTCTACTAAATGGTTTGATGACCTCTTTAATAAATTGACCTCTATAGATTATTAGTCAACACATGTACTGTAGACAGCAAAGAGGTGAGTCTCTAGTTGAGATGCTTTTTAAGATAGACAATTGGTCCGCTATATTTGTTTGTGAAGTGCCCATAAACTTAATTAAACTGTGCTGACAGATTTATTTTGAAATAAGGGAAACAAGCTTTTCTAATGCTGATGGTTTGTGTGAAGGACTCATGGTTTTGTGCACCCTGCAAATTCTGACAAAAAATGAAAAGGGTGCTGACTATAAAGATAACGATTTTACATTTGACGATTTTTATAATTCTTCACCCACACTGGGAATTTAGGAGTAAGTATTGAAATCATATATGTATTTTAATTCATTCAGACAGAACAGGTAAAACAACCAGCTGGCTGTGTGTTATGTGTATACTGTATACAACTTGTCCATGCTTTTATCTTCAGTAGACTGGACTACTGGTGTCTTTACAGGTCTCACTAAAAGATCTATTAGAAAGCAGCAGCTAATTCAGAACGCCGCTGCTCGAGTCCTCACTAACACTAAGAAAGTGGATCACATCACTCCTGTTCTGAAGTCTTTACACTGGCTTCCTGTGTGTCAAAGAATTGATTTCCAAATACTGCTGCTGGTTTATAAAGCTTTGAATGGTTTAGGCCCAAAATACATTTCTGACCTACTGCTAAATTATGAACCATCCAGATCTCTCAGGTCTTCGGGGACTGGTCAGCTTTCTGTCCCCAGAGTGAGAACTAAACATGGAGAAGCAGCATTTAGTTCTTATGCTCCAAATATCTGGAACAAACTCCCAGAAAACTGCAGGTCCACTGCAACTCTCACTAGTTTTAAATCCAGGCTAAAGACTTTTCTTTTTGTCGCTGCTTTTAATTGAACTATTCATATCTTAACCTGCACTGTAACTTTTATCCATGTATTTTTTCTTTTAATGTTTATTTTATTATCTTTGCTTTTTAATGACTGATTTTAAATGCCATTTTCTTAATGTCTTTCATTTTTTGTAAAGCACTTTGAATTGCCTTGTGTTGAAAGGTGCTATATAAATAAACTTGGCTTGCCTTGCCTTACTGTTTTGCTCCTGGCAAGCAAGAGGAAGAGATTACAGACTATACATGCCAGTCTATAGATTGGCCAATACAATTAAATAATTTCTACCTATAGGTAGTCCAAGCCATAAATTCTTCTAAACAACAGCATCCTGGTTCCATACTATGTACATTAAATATCTGTATTTAATGTAAGTGGTATCTAATTCTGCTTACTGACAAGATACCACCTACTCATTCATAAAAAAAAAAAACTCCCAACTTTTCTTTTTTTTTTCAACTATCTCAAACAAATGATGGGGCTGATTCATAGAATCATACACGGCATACAGTAAAATTAGTCAAATGTGCCTGGAAAGTTGTGTGTTTCCAAATTCCAAAAATGCACCAAATATTGGCACTATACGTTACATAAAAGTAATGTTGTCCATATTTTCAACCAAAATTCAAATGCTCTTCGATTTATAAAGAGGAGATCCAACTTTTCTTGTGGAACGTGAAGGCAACACCTGTTTTGGCGCGGGTCGTTTTTCCAGGGTGCTGAACTTTGTCGATGAGGTAGCAACTTTTCTTATTTTGCCAACAAATATTTATTAATGGATTTACTAAATAATTTGGGGATGTAAAATTGAAAGACAGTTAAAACTTTAGTTGTATGCTAGGCTACTAGACGAGTTGTTTAGAGAATAAGCTAACATTAGCGTGTCAGCTAACTATCATAAAGCTAAGCTAGCTAAAAAGCTGTACAGTTGTTGCTAAACTGACAAAGCAACCGAATATAAACTGGCTTAACTCGTCAAGTCTTTCCAACTGAGTTAACCCAGCACCTGTTAACTTGTGAAGAACCAAGTGGGGGACCAACATAAACCAGGACATCAGTTTTATTGTATTATACTTTATATATACAGGTATTATAGAGTAAAAAACCCTCGTGTACCGTCAGGTAATACCCCCATCTCAGGTTAACTGGATGAGCTATTTTTCTCCAGCCACCACAATGAGGAGACAGGAGAACCAGCCACCCAGGCAAACAGCAAGTTAGTTAAATAGATACTTTACAACCCCTCACTATTCATCTCCATTTAATATTGTCCTGTGATATAACGTAAATACAAAGAGTGGTGTAAAGTAACTAAGTACATTTAGTACGTTGTACTTAAGTACTCGTTTGACATATTTGTACTTTACTTGAATGTTTCCATTTAATGCTACTTTATTCTACAATACATTTCAGAGGCAAATGTTGTACTTTTTCCTCCACTACAATTTTAACACTCACAGTTACTTTTTACATAATAAACACAGGATATGCTGATATAGTATAATGCAGTATTTCATGTATCTTCCTTTGTTCCACATTGACAAACTAAAATACTGAAGGCTCTTACATGTATAAAAACAGCATTATATAATACACTTAATAATATAATAATGTGAAAATATCAACTGTGCAACAAGTACTTTACTTTTTATACTTGAAGTAAACTTAGCTGATTATACTTCTGTACTTTATTTTATTCTGAGTCCTTTTTTTTTTTCACGTGAAGTATATTTTGATGCTAGTACTTTTGTACTTTTACTTAAGTAACATTTTGAAATCAGGACTTTTTCATATAATTGAGTACTTTAAGACCATATTATTTGTACTTTTACTCAAGTAAAGGATCTGAGTATTTCTTCCAACACTGAATAAAAATAACTCAATACAAAATATTGAGTCTAGATGATAAGTACACTTATTGTTATATATAAGGAAATGTTGATTGGTTTTAATCCTAATATTATAAATATTAACATTGCAGTCAGTCTGATATGCTGATATGTTTCCTCTGCTGTGCCCATCAGGCTGCATGTCTGTGCCGCTGTTCAACCAGAAGAAGAGAAGCAGAGTTCCTCTGACCTCTGCTCCCTCTGAGAATGAATTCTTCTCCCACAGTGAATACAATGCAAGCAGCAGCTCAGCTGCACCTCACAGCTCTTCAGGTGAAGCATTCAGCTCTTTAAGCTTGCACTGTATTTCAGTCACTCACCAGGTGGCAGTATATCCAAAGAAAAATACATTAAAAAAAGCAATTATTGCCTTTGTGTGTTGTTTAATGCCTGACTGCTCAAAATCCCCATCTACTGCTGAATCACACCATTAAGTCCATTTTATGTTAAATATAGGACAATATTGTAAAACATCTCCCCATTAATTAAGATTCAGAGCTGCAGGTGGCAGAGGATGCTATAAGATTTCCTTCTGAGAATGTATTTTTTCCCTCAGGTACATTTGGATGTTACCAGGCCTCAGTTCCGGCCTCTAGTGCTGCACAAAGCCCCCAGTGGAAAAGGCAGGACGTCCCACAATCTGCTCCACCCCCGCAGTACGTCAGCAACAGACCTGCTCCGGGCCCTTCTCCTCCAATCAGAGCCCATAAACCCATACCTCATCCATACAAAGTTGGAGGCACAAGGTACCTTTTTTTTTAATTTGGTGACCGTTAGTGTAATCAGTTAACCATTCAGACACATGAGATACAGTTTAGCATGGGACATAAATATGGTGACCACCACTACTGACACAAGCAATACATAAGCTGTCACTATGAGCCGCAATATGACTGTAAATTGATTTGCTCACAACCAATAATAATGTACCTGGCTAGCATGGAAAATGTTTAAAACCACAGATGAATTAACTAAAATGTTGCCATTTCAAACGTTGATTGTGACTGGTGTTTGGTGTGTTTTTTTTTCTTTTTTCTATCCCGATAAGTCAACATTTATTTATGTATTCACATTTCCAGCTCTCAGATGGGACAGCCCAGCAACCCAGGGAGACCGAGGGAGTTCAGCCCTGGTGTTAACTCCACACAGAGCAAATTTAAAGATCCCCACTTCAGCGAGAGTGCACCAATGAAGCCAACACCCCATTCTGGGTTCTCTCCGATGGCTCAGCAGTCATCCTACAGACAGCTCACTCTCAACAATCAGTATCCCAAGCAGCCCAGACCTCTGCCTGCTCCTGTCCCCCCCCCCAGCAGGCCCTCTGCTCCCCTTGCAGCGCAGCCACAAAACAAATCCTGGAACTTTACCAACAGCTTCGGCCCGCAGAGACTTCCCTTTGAGGGAAACAGCAGCACAATTAAATCTCAGGCTGCACGACAAACTCACAACCAGGTAGAACAAATATCTGCAAAGTGTATAACTGATCATTTTAAATAACTTAAAATGTGCCAGTTATGTTCCATAATATTGTCCTGATCACTGCAGCATTTGATTTTGTGCTCAGCAGGACAAATTTGCACAGAAGCCGGCCTTCGAGAACTCACTGAGGATCCTGACTTCAGTCATTAATGGCATGAGACACTGGAGCCAGTTTAAAGACAAAGTCCCGTACTTATTTGAGATATTTGGTCAGTTGAATCAGAATGGGCAGTTGTATCTGATGTGACTATTAAGTATCTCTAAACACATTTCATCTGACAGGCTGTGCTCTCCTCCCTCAGCTACTCTCGACTCTGCGGTCACACTGGGTCGCCACGGAGCCAAGAACTTCCTCATGAGAGACGGGAAGGCGGTGGTGCAGTGTGTCTTCTACGAAACTGTGAGTTCCCTTAAGCAGTGAATTCATTTGAGTTTTTCAGAAGACTAAGTCCCTTTGCACTGAGTCCACTCAGCATTAGACACTATAGTATGACTTTTTTGGAAAAGATGACTTGGTGTTATCCACGTTTATAGTGATGATTATGCTGCATTTTGTTATTCTGTTTATATATTGTACATTTAACCTATTAGTATGTATGAAAACTATCATCCTTATCTTCAAAAGCACAAATATAATTCAGTTTAAAAGGATGTACAGAAACACCTTTTTGGTAAACTATGAGAATGAAGAAAGGTGATTGAAGATGAGAAATGATTGTAAATGTAAATATGTAAGTAGGAATATCTTGCAGAAATGATTTAAAGGATAATCATTGATCAGCAGTAAGTAACAGTACGTCCACACGGCAGCGTGCGTTGAAGCTTGCCGGTGGGCGTGTCTGGCGCGCGACCAACAACCAATCACATTCATCTCCCGCCCCGGACACACAAGCACGCGGTTTGATTGGCTAGAGCTTGTACTAGCATATGATTTGATTGGCTGACGCTTCCGTCGAAGCTTGAAAAGTTGAACTTTTCTCAACTTTCGAAGCGAGCAACGGAGGCAAAGCGACACAACGGAACCACAATGCAGTTCGGCAAAGCGTGACGTCACCCCATTCAAAGTGAATGGGAAGCGTCTCCGTTGAAGCAACGCACGCTGCCGTGTGGACGGGCCGTAAGAGGTGGGAATTAATAAGCATTTGCTTCGTCCTGCTCCCTTTCGGACACATATGATTTATTATTATGAATATGAACATTTTTGTTGAATATATAAATATGACTATTTTTTGTTTAATATATAAATATTATTATGAATATTGAGAAATACTGTATTCTAACAATACGGTATTCTGTTTTTCACTTTTTTTAAATTAATTTTTTTATTTTCTTATCTGTTCGAAATAAAGATTTAAATGAAAAAATGAAAATGAAATCCTTGGTTAGATTTAGAGGCTTTCACATCTTAGTAGAACAATCTGGAGGATTTACTGAATAATTTGGATTCTGATTCAGGAACTATGTTGCTCTTCTTCCTTTTCACATGACATTGTTCCCCAATGGTCCAGTGTTATTTGTATCGGATAAATCTTGCATTAATGTATTGTTGATCATTTTGTTTGATTCGTGATGGTCGATTTCTGTTTAGCTCCCCCTAGTTTTACCTGTGAAGTGAGGTGTCAAGTTTAATAGGTTAGGATTTCTGGGGTGAAATGTCCTCATAAATCATATTTTTGTTGCTAAATGGCACCGTTTTTGTTATGCATCAACCCCTGCATATTGCCGTTCTTCTTCTTCCCCTAAAAGGGTTTCCAGGGCCACATAACACCAGGAGCCACAGACCTCTGGCTTTTTGGGAATACTAACAAAGAAACTCTGGAATTTAACTTGACTTAATTTATTGTTGCACTTCTGTTCCAACAGGAGCAGGAACTGCCCCGTCTGATCCGAGGTCAGGTGCATCGCTGTGTGGGGAACTATGACCGCAGCAGGGACGTCCTGATGTGTGTGTCCGTCCGCCCCGGCCTGCCCTCAGAGCTCAGGAACGCTCAGGAGGCCGTGAAGGCCTGCGACGCTGAGATGAGAGGGCTGGTCAAATTACTCAGTGAGGTCTGAGAAACATTACTGTGGCATCTAAACCAGTACGACACTGATCAGGAAAATGATACTAGTGTTTGATGAGTCGTTATATAGTAATAGATTACTGTAGTTAGAGGTAGTAGTTTAAAAAGAATGTTTTAGGTATTATTACAGTTTGTTTTAGCTGTGAAGGGCGCTGTTGTGCTGTTATACTGAACTTTAACAGTTGAATTCCTTTGCAAAGGTTTGGCTTTGATGTTCTTATATTTATTTAACCCAAAATGAAATTAAAGCTTCTCTTTTACTAAGTTCTGAAATATTTTTTTATTAAAAAGAAAAGTCACAGAACAGCAAACATCGTCTGGAGGTTAATGCAGTTAAAACACGAAGAGGTAATATCTCAAAATATATCTTTGAAAAACGGGGCAGTTAGGAATAATGTGATATCAAGTACAGTTAGTTTATTTACAGTCAAACACCACAATGGAGAAAAACAATAATACTACTCTACCAAAACAGTTTCACCAGTGCTGAGACTTTACACACAATGGATCAGCAGAGAGGGGTCCTTCAGCACAGTATGAGGTCAACACAATACCAACATCTCTGACCTTCTGGCAAATATGGCAACATAATCACAGTCACTGTTTTCATGTCAGGACATTATGGGAAATATTCAAATATGAACTCATTAGCATAATCCAAACCATAATTCAACACTAATACACACTAACACCATCTAGAAAAAGCCGTCTAGCTTGATGAACTTGGCAGTGTACAGGGAGAGGAAGTGGAGAAGGAGACATTTTGTCCTTGGAATATGACAGGAAGGGTGCCAGCGCTTAAAAGGAGAAGTGGATTGGCAACAAAAACATACATTAGCTTACTTGAGGAGCTAATTACTTTAAGCTATGTTTTACACATGTGAATAATGTGTCAGCTCAGCACAGATAACAAAGTTCAATTCTTACAGCGCCCCTCCTCTGCCACTCAATTATTAAATCATGTAAGAGAGGGTGCCAGGAATTAGTCTGTAGCTGCGTGTCACAACCTTTATTAAAGCAATTCAAGTGACTTTCCTCTTATAGATAATTGGGGGAAATGTCTCAAGGCAAAATGAAAGACAAGTACACTGCTTTCCTTTTTTTCTCTGCCGTTATACCTCCAAGGACATCATCTTTTTTTTTTTATCCTCCAGAACATTTTCTCCAGTTAATGAGATCATACTGCATCAAGTAAAGACTTAACCTCTGAGAGGGAAACATATCATAGGAAAAGAAACACACCACACAACAGGATCCACAGTTTTTCAGCAGAAAAAGATGATAACCTGATCATTGTATTAAACACTTGTCTTGGTTATGTTAAAAGGCACAAGTTGGTCAGATCACATTTAAAATCTAGATCAATTGTTCTACCATTAACAAAGCCTGTCTTATCATGCATTTATTTTGACAAAGATCCTACATCTCCCTGCCTTTTGCAATCATTTTCTTCCTGAATTAGAGTGTTTAGTATTGTGTGTTGTAGACAGACAAACAACTGTTTCTTAACAAGCGAGTTACACTACACAAAAACATTTCTGGGGAAAAAGGAAAGAAAGCAGTATTCCAACATAACATTTTTAGAGATATCCATTTGTCCTTTCGGCAGGTCTGATGCTGTGTCCTCTTCCTGGAGACAAAAGTCTTTGAATACGTCTTTTCACTCCGGCTGGTTCACTCCCCGGTTTCTATACGGGAAGGCACAAAAAGTCTGCAGCGCCAACATCCTTCAAAGCGTTACGGCTCGTGCACACGGCGGCGTGCGTTGAAGCTTGCCGGCGGGGGGGGGGGGGGCTGAAACTCGACCAACAACCAATCACATGAATCTCCCGCCCCGGACACACAAGCACGCGGTTTGATTGGCTAGAGCTTGGATTGGCTGATGCTTCCGCCGAAGCTTTAAAAGTTGAACATTGCTCAACTTTTGCAGCGAGCAACGCTTCTGAAGCTACGCTTCGCTCCCACAATGCAGTTCGGCGAAACGTGACGTCACCCCATTCAAAGTGAATGGGCAGAAGCGTTGAAGCTTCAACGCACGCCGCCGTGTGGACGGGCCGTCAGATTTCTCTTTTCTTCCATCAGTTGTCTTAAATCCAGACAATATTTACAGTCCAAACGCTTGAGCACAATACATCGTCACTGGATGCAACTCCATTAATATTATTAGTCCAAAATTCTTTAAAACCTCTTATTGACACATTCGAGTCACACTGCCACAACATCTCATGCGTCCACTCTCTTTAAGCGGCCAGCCTCCAGTCTGTTTTGGAATGTTACACATGTTGACATCACAAAGGAAACCAAGGGAAAAAAACACAATTTTAGCAAGTCCTGTCATGTTTGTAGTCTTTTTCTCAAATCCTGTGAGGTCCTGATGAAAGTGATGACCCACACAGTAATATTGTAATGTAAAACATTCCATGTAAATGTCACAGAGCAGATGCAGGAAGACAGTGTTCGAACAGAATCGCCTCCAAAAACGGGACGCAGGTGTCTCCCCGTGACATCCAGCCCGGGTTAGAGAGAGGGAATTCAAACCAGACAATGCACTATAACAGCGTGGGCAGCGGGGTGGGGGACAGGTGCTCCTTCGGCGCGTATTTGGCAAAAAAGGGCAAGAAGACGGTGAGCATGACTCCCACGATAGCCAGCATGTAGCCCCAGCCGATCCCACACTCCCCGGCGTAGTAGATGTCAGAGTCCCCGCAGAAGGACCGCACCAGAGAGGAGTTCAGGCCGAACGGGTACACCAGCAGACCGGCCCCCATGATGAACACTGAGGGGAGAGGAAAGGAGGGTTAGATGGAGAACAAAACAAAAACACTTAGGCCACAGCATTAACTATGGCACAGTAAATCAAGCCTGTTGCAAACAACCTGGGAACGTGTTTGGTAGTTATTTATATTTTGAGCAACAGTTCATAAGCTTGTCCAACCACCTCAGAAAAATATATTAAAATAATACTTTAGAAATGCAGAAACTGTTACATGCTTTTATCTGCTACCACCTTGATTATTGTTGTTTATAATTTCCTGTTTATTATTTGTAACTTTTAATGTTGGCCTTCATGTGGTTTATCATTCACATTTTTTATTCTAACTTTGAAGCACTTTGTACTTTGTGTTCATAAGTGCTTTATAATTATACAGCTTTTATTTAAAAAAAAAAGTTGTATTATTTTGATATTCCTATATGCACTGGATAATTCATTTAGCACAGAAGATTCAAGATGCAAGGCTTTATTGTCATGTGCACAGTAGCTACAGTGTAGATATGGCAATGAAAATCTTCAGGTCAGGCTCCTCCAGCATGAATATATATAGGACATAAAACAAATACATAAAATAAAATAGTGCAAGAGAATGTTTTGAGATGTGCAATGTACAAAATAAAATAGAAATAGTGCAAGAAGAGTCCATATACAAGTAAATGGAATGTGATATATAGATAAATAATTAGCAAGAAGCAAACCGATGAATGTTTTTGGATGTTCTTTACAGAGTTCAGGTGGTTTTAGACCCGGTGCTGTGGTACTGCGAACCACAAAGATTGCATAGATAAAGTATTATGGTTTAATTCAGAGTGAATATATTTAAGGTATGTTAAAGGGTTTATTCTCCTTAATAAAACACACGTCTTGTTGTATCCACTGTGCTGCTGTGGCAGCTGAGAGCCACATGGGGGCAGTAGAGCTTCAGCAGAGACAGCCCACAGTGCCTGACAGTTAAGAGTGTCATTGAGATACTTCATCAGTGCTGAAGTGCCTCCATTTGCACTGATGATTTGTTCCCTTGTGTTGCACATATACAATAAATCATGACCTAGATAGTTTTATAAGTCCTGCAGTGCCCGAGCTTTTAATGTATTGAACAACAAAAGCGCTGATGACCTTTAACTGCCAGAAACTTCAAATGCAAAATGATTCATGTCTACATAAATCCATTTGCACTCCTCATTTAAAAAGAAAAAAAGAAGCTCCTGGTGCACTTCTGCTGCGATCAGCTTTCTCTTCCTCTCTCCTCGGAGCCGCTCACTTTTACAAATTGAGTCTCAGGGCCCCGTGCTGCCAAGCCGTTATTGACTGTGCTACGGGCTATCATTGCTGCTCTTCAGTCATCCCGAGTGCCGGCTGGATTTCCATCACAATGCCAGGTGTCATCGTTGTTTTAGCTGAGGAGAGCTGGGGTTACTGGGAAGGCTTGAACTCGTGAAAGTGAGTAGAAAACATAACAAACATATATTTTAGTTCTGCTATTGATTTAGGAGGATGTCGGGTTTTCCAACTTTCAAGGGGGCTCATGTGAGGAGGTATCTGTTTGAGGATCACATCGATGGTTTGTGTGGGCAGTGAGGAGGAGAGGAAGCTTTCCCTCATCTCTAGTTGCACACTGGGGGCTTTGGGATTGAATGTTGGGGGGGGGGGGAAAAGGATGATAGGGAAGTGTTGTCTCGCCTGGTGCCTCTCTGCGGACTTCACTGAGGGTCTCCTAACCCCGTTGCCATGTTATATCTGCAGGGGCCCTGCCTAATGACACTTTAATGACCTTCTTTATCAAGCTATCATTGGCTTTTATGGAAACAAACACAAAGCAAGCGCGCAGAACCCCAAGTCCTCTTACCTGCTAGTCTAAAATACTAAGACAAACTTGGACACAAAATGGATAATTGATTGAACAATGCATCACACTGGGGTCCAGGCAGCAGGGTCTAACAGGTGTCAGGTAAGCAGGGCGGCTGTCTGCATCAGATAAGATGCAGCTCTGGATCTCTGTGAGCTTTTAATGAGGAAGAGAACTGCCGAAAAAGCTGCAAGAGGCTAACTCCAAACGGATCAATTGCATCCTTCAGATCTGAGAGGGGGTGAAACCAAGCCGAATCTTTTACACATCTTAAAGGCGATTTTACACATCAAAGTGTGTTTACATGTCTTGCAGTACTGTTGGATAAAGCCGCCTCTGGCTCCAGAGGGAGCTGTGTGGAGTCTGATAGATCGCCTTCAGTCATCGCACACATGCTTACGCAAACACACAATCTCCCACTGAACTGATCACAGTCAAAGTTTGGGCAAGAAACAAGAATTGGTAGAATAAAAAAGCCTCCCTTTAAAGTAGTGTAACGTAATTTAAATGCCAGAACACAGGATGCATAATGCAGAACAATGAGGTCTACATTTTGTGACAAACCTTTTATTAAAAGCTAGAGAAAACCTAAACTGCACACTGCAGGGTGGATCAACTTCATTTCAACAGAGTCTTACATGGCCCAGTAATCTAATCCTATGAGGACGGGCGTGTGATGAAACAGGATGACATGACACTCCATGCAGCGAGACTAAAGCCTCAAAGTGATTATTACTCGGCAGCGAGGAGACTGTTTTACATGTGGGCTGCAACAAGTGAATGCCTCTGTGCTGTTGGCAACATTGACTACGTTAAGAAAGGGAACATTTTATTTTGTTATATGGTACTGTAATGTTATAATATTAATCCCAAAAAAACTAGATTAAGCTTTAAAAAACGACAGCAGTCAAAAGGGAAAGACATTTTCATTAAAAAGGGCCCTATTATCCTTTTGTTTCCCCCCCCTTTCCTGTAGTGGGTTATTTAAGTTTCTGTGCATGTAAATGGTGTTCAAAGGTTAAAATCCCAAAGTTCCCTCCAGGGGGAATTTCTCTCCCACGTCCTCATGAAATACAAGATCGACCTCCCCCATTACTTCGAACAGTCCCTTACAGCGGTCTTAAAGAGCGGTCCACAGCAGCCACCAGGCAGTAATAAGTTACAAGTGCTTCCATCCATTACGCTCTACTTGACCAAACGAGCGGACAGTTTATCCAACGTCCAATCATCGGTCTGCATTTGTAAGAACACGAACCAGGAAGCGAAGTCCGGTCCTTTCTCCGAAGAGATGACTGAAAGTGAGGAGGTGTGAGGAAAGAGTGTCAGCCTGGATCACATGAGGGCTGCTGAGTAACCACGGCGATCATAATGGCTCAGAGATTATGAGACAGTGACTAAAGGAGAGACCTCAAGTTAAACTGGGCAGTGCACTAATGTGTCCCAGTTTCCGTGAAACGTTTAAACGCAGCGACAAAGAAGGGGGGTAGGATTTAAAATTTGATTATGAGTTCAACCTAAACCATATAAAACTTTGTACAATACACCCTCGTTCAAATTAAGCTTGACTTTTCTTTCAATTTATTTACAATCTGTAAACAGTACCAGCTACTTCTATCATTTGAAATGGTCACTTGAAAAATATATACACACAGTATACACACTCACTGGACACTTTATTAGGTACACCTGTTCAATTGCTCGTTAACGCAAATATCTAATCAGCCAATCACATGGCAGCAACTAAATGCATTTAAGCGTGTAGACATGTTCAAGACGACCTGATGAAGTTCAAACAGAGCATCAGAATGGAGAACAAAGTTGATTTGAGTGACTTTGAACGTGGCATGGTTGTTGGTGTGAGACGGGCTGCTCTGAGTTTTTCAGAAACTGCTGATCTACTGGGATTTTCACGCACAACCATCGCTAGGGTTTAGAGAGAATGGTCCGAAAAAAATTCCAGTGAGTGTATATACTTAGTTTTTTTACAATGGTGTACTTATCTGTTATTTATTTTCACCTATTGTGTTTTTTATTATTAATAACGTGTCCCTACTTTGTTATTTTTAATATGCAAGTCTCTTACTTTATGTGCACTATTCTTCTGCTGTTGTAATCAGGTTCATTTCCCCATTGTGGGACAAATATAGAAATTCGGATTCTGACCAATAGTTGTTTACGACAAGTTTCTCTTCCATTCAAAATGCGACGTACTTGCAGTCAGTTATTGTTAATATCGTCCTTGATATTTTTCTTGGATTTCTTTGAATACACACTTCAGCAGCTTTGAAGTGCGCGCAGGCTTCGGACTGAGGGAGTAAAATATCGATTTGGAAAGGAAAAACAGACGCGTCCGAGGGAACTAGATTACATTGTTCATCAGCTTCAGTTTTTTTTTCTTTCACACGTAGCTGCAAGGCTGTGTAGCCCTTTGTGAGCGCTAATGAATAGCAAATACCTTTATGTGCCTGTCTCTCCGATTTTGTGTAAAGGCAAGCGTAGTAGAGTAGAGAAACATTAAATGAAACAGAGTGAGAAACATTGTGCCACCATACAAAGACTCCACTTGTACAAACTAAACTAACCTTGAGTCTGGGGGAAACAAAGCCGCTCCCAGATGGAGAGGCGGTTACACAGCGGAGTGAAAGAGAGAAAGAGATTGAATGTGTTTGTGGGGACGGGAAGGTGTGTGATAACCTGGCGTCCAAGCGTGACACTGACTCACTTTCATCACAGAGCTCTTACACCGGCTCAGATTATTACACAAGCCGAGACACACCAATCATAGGATTACCCGTGTGTCGTATTCCAACATGTACCCAGACTCCAGCTGCTGAAACGTCTGGAATGTATTCTCGTCAGTAAAATGTCAGAAATCAAATATACTGCAGCGCCAGACATTCATACACCTTGTATCTTATACAGAAACTCATTCTCCCCAAGATATAACTAATAAGAAATTCAATTCTGTGAGCTGCGGGGAGGCTTCATTACGATGCAAGGACCTCTGCTCCGGATCAAACTCGATTGGCACCGTGTGCTGACTGTCAGTTAGTGATGGGAAGGGCTGGATTATACTCAACAGGAAATGTGGTTGCTACCTCTACTGCGTTCTTTAACTCATGTTTCAATAGTAGCACCTGTCTGTTTGATGCAGAAG